GAAGGACGCGGTAACTCGATGGTTTCGCGCCTACGTCATCGGGCCCCCGGCCATAACGGATGATGAACTTGTCACACGTAAAGCTCTTCGAGCTCGTTTCTTCGTCCCACAAGAAATTCCGTTGAAAACTTATCGCACTCGTCTGAGTGCACAACGAGGTGGCTCTCGTGTATCCGCAATGCGTACAATACCTGTAGTGCTCGCCCCCGCGCGAAAGCACTACATATGACGAAGCGCTCTTTGAGCGATGGGTGCAACGGCACCGAAAACTTTTCTCACTGCATAACCTGCGGTTGAGCTACAAGGAAGTGGACGTGCGTGTGGAGCGACACCTCCGCTTTGAGTTTGCCAAACTCAAGGAACGCCGTCGACTTCTTTCAGATTGTCGCCCTGCGATGTATGGGCTAACAACCCCTAATGCTCCCACGAGCTCTGTGTCTTCGACCGCAAGAGCTCAGGGCTGCTGCTTGATCTCAGCTCATGGCCCTTCAACTTCCCTGGCTATTGCCGGGAATCGCGGGGTGTCTGATGACGCGGGACTTCCTGATCGTTCCGATCAAGAGCGTTTACGGCGACTGGGCAATCTTGCCCAAGTGGCGCCTCAAACTCCCACGAGTCTTACAGTTGGGATATCCCCGCCAGTTCACGAGATATCGGGTCTGACCCTGGTGACGACGTCGTCGTACTAGACGTTCCACGTGATAGTGGGCTTCACCATTCATATCGATAAGAGTCGGTGGCGGGCGGTGACGACCGGGTCGACCGCCGCCCGGTGGCTCGTGATGATCTTCGAGCCCTTGCGGACAAGGTCCTTTGTAATCGGAGCTCCGCTGAGCGTCATGCTGATGTAGCACATCTCTGTGCGGACGCTCTTGACAGTTTAAAGCACGTCGTGCGCCGGTTGCCTCGCCTTGAGGACTACCGCTCTCTGTCGGAGCGACCCCTAGCCGTGGAGCTGGCGAATGCTTCGCTGCAGGCAACGGTGGAGCGCTTGGCACCATTGGAAATAGAGGTTGTTGCACTCCGTGCTCAGATCCAGTTGCTGGTTCAACTTCTGGGTGGCCGCGGGCCCGTGGAATCCACTCCGGCGCCAACGCTTTCGCGTTAACTTGCGCCGGATCCCGGTACGGCTTGAGCAAGCCCACGTAGAACACCGGGTGGGTGCGCATCCGTTTCGGAA